TACATGTGTTTCTTTTAACATCACAGACAAAAAGATAGACAGATGATGCACTCTGAATCTAAAATACCCCTAGTGTGACAAGCAGCACCATAAGGAACGAAACAAAACCACTCTTGTCATCCTTAGATGTGAAAGCCTTTTACGCTTCAGTTTTTTTTTTTTTTTTTTGGAGGTGTCAAACATGTCAGTTGCTCCTAATGTTCCTGCTGTTCCTCTGATGTTTTTTTTGTTGTTGTTGTTTTTTTTTTTTTTTTTTTCAGACCAGCTTGTTTCATTTGCATAAGTTCCTGTGACTGCACATTGTGGATTAACATCGAGATGTTCCACATGCAAATACCACACATGTTCAGGTCTAGATAAACTACCAAACCAATAATGATGGATGTGTAATATAAGAATGTTATGTTGGTCATATAGCCTAAATAATAATGAAAACCCTGCCATCTTAACAGTTTTGCAGTCATTGACATCTTGTACAAAAAAGATAAGACACTTCTTAGAGAGCATTATTGGAGCCCATTCAAGGGTTTGGCAGTGGACTATTGGACCAGCTCTTAAACATTATCTGCAGGTGTTATGGAGACACACCAAAGACAAAGGCTCCCTCTTTGTCTTTGATAAGGGGCATTCTCTGTCCCTTTTAAGAACGTTGTCTTGACTATACATTCAAGATGCTCCTTATCCTGAATACTGAATAAGGAAAAATATATATTAAACAGTTTTGATTCATTGCATGAATTAACACATTAATGTTGACATTAAAAAAGTTTTTTGGACTCATTAGTCAACAACTGATTCTGTTAGTGGGAGGGGGGAAAAATCAAGGTTTAGAGGTGCAAGAGTACTGTTGCATTTAAAATCTGGTCCTTTTTTGAAACAACTAATTTTCACCTCATGAAAAAACGATGTTTTTCATTCTTTTGTAATTCAAAGTAGTACTAGCCCCCACAAATACACCACACTTGCTCTGACTCACACTGAGCTGGCCCACAATCTGATGTGTTCAAAACATGTGGGAAAGTGAAGCGTGTAGCCTACTACAGGGAAAAAATAATAATACCATCACTGTATGTAAGAAATAATAGTGCAGAAACTATTACGTGGCACTGATCCAACTTGGTTTCTGGCCACTGCTTCATTGCCAATCATTATCTCAATCATTATATACATTGTTATTTAATTTTTTTCACACACTTTTAATTTCCCTCTTGTTGTAAATCTGCCCTAAAGCAATATGGAGTGGGATAATACAGAACATTGCACATTTTCTTATTAAATGTATTTCTAATAGGGCTATTGATATGAAATCTACACCAGATGTTAATAACAACCCAAATATTTAATACACACAAATCAAAACATATTTGTCCATAAATCAGGTTATTTTTCAAAGAACCAGTGATTAATTTACTTCCTGCACCATCATCTGCATAAGACTCCACTTATGAAGGAAAACCATACTGACACTAGTTTAAAGCTTCCTGCAGGACAATTAAACGCTGAAGATTAAGCCATTAAAATACTATAGCAACAGGATCTGGTCATTTGATTAAATGTAACTCCTTACATAATGTTTGGATGCGAAGTAGCTTTGTGTATCAACCCCAAAATGTCAGACTCTCAGCAGTCAAGCAGCGTACGCCACGGTAGAATTTATAAGTAAAAGAAGGCAGAATGGGGAAATTTACCAGGATATTTCAGCTGTTAATAGAGATGTAGTTGCTCAGAGCAACACTGACATTTTCAGCGCTAACGTTACAGACTATATTTTTTTGTTGTTCCCCGGCTCACATTTTTTACCTCTTCCGAGCACACTGCTATAAATTCAGAACAGCTAATGCAGCAGCAAGCAGCTTTTGGCAGGCACATCACAAAAACAACACTAAAAGCAGGTATATGTTATTAGTCACTGTATGGAAAATCTGCAGCTACCCTTTTTGAAGAGAAGTTACAAGCATAAAAAATGTGAACTGGATTTCTGCTTATACTATAAGCAGGAAATATATTTATTTTTGTTACAGGAAAGTAAAAATATGTATTACTTTATTTATGCTGTGGTCATGGTTACAATGTAATGTTAACACAAATATTTAATCTGAAAAATAAATGCAAAAGTTCAGTTCAGCCACACTTTTAGTGCTTTCACAAGTTTGTTCAAAAATATCCGGCACACTTTGTTTGGAAGGGAACTTTTGTAATTGTTCCCACCACACAGATGTACTTTGCAAGATAGTTTATTTATTTATTTGTTTATTTATTTTACCACAGTTACAGCTACAGTCTTTCAAGAAGATAAAAACATTCACCTCAGTGATTTACAGGTCTGAGTGCAAGCTCAAATGGGAGTTGCAGGAGTATTTAGAGGTATGAAATTAAATGCTTGAATAAGCTCCTTGTGGATGAATGATGCATGCCTGTTGACTTTACTGCAGGGTGTATTTCTCTAAGGAGGTGAATATGTGTACTTTTCTGAAGTAAATGCTTGACAGAGAACCATTGGCCAGAGGATTTGGTGGGGCATTGATTTGATAATTTGAAATTAAAGATACTTAAGAATACTTTTTATAAGTAATGCTAAAGAATTGTGAAAATGTACAAAAGTTGAAGGAGTATTAAAACGTTTGCAATACTTTGTAAAAACAACTGTAGTTTCCCTCCCATGTGGTACAATTACGCTCACAATCCATGTCATGGTTATCTTTAGACCTCTGCAGGCTGCAGGATCTTCAGATTCACATTCAAGTACTCTGTGGAAAGTGATAAAAACTGGTTCCCTTTTACAGCTGAAGTGTTTTGGGCTGAATGTTCTGAACACTTTGACTCATTGTTGAAGACTGCAGGGTGCTTGTGTGTTGTTGTTGTTGTATTACTCATATTAAGGGGGGATGATTCGAGCCAGATTGTGGTTGTCTACCTGTGATGGGTTTAATAATACCTCCAAAGAGTATTACACATGTGGCTGGAACACAATCTTATGTTTCTCCTTAAGATTGTGTATAATCTCAAGGAACAATAAAAGTTTTTGACTTTTGAAATATAAAATAAAACAGCAATTTCATGGATGGTATCAGGAACACTTTAAAATGAGGGTGTGGAGGGTGGAATATTTAAATGAATTGAGAGACGTGCCATTTTTATATGTGGCTAATCTTTGAATATATATTTTTAAAGAGGTCAAATAATACTTGTTTCTCATTTTTAGCTGATAACACTGTCCCTTTTTTGTCACCCATTAGGAAGGAACAGGCCAAAGGACCCTGCTCTTTTCAGATATAACAAAAATATGGGAAACTTGCATGTTTTTATAAGTTTAAAGGAAGGCGTGGTAACTAGCAAAGGTTACAGAACCAGTTTTATTTTTGACCTGAAAAATAAATCAACCAAAAAAATTGCATGTAAATGAACAAGTGACTGACAACTGCCCTCAAAATGCCTTGAGCAAGACGATAAGCGTTAGACTGCTGTACTCACTTAATTTTCTGACATATGTTCAAATGTATGAAATCTCTATCCCTCTTTACTGACTCCCCTCAGCAGTCATAATTAATGTTGGACTTTGAATTATTTTATGGCAAAATAAAGGTTTGAAAATGCCAAGCATGCCTCGGGGATGATATTGTATGAGAAAATATGAGTCTTCATACCTGTGTGGGCCTGAAGGCAGGACAAGTGATCCTCATCTGAGTGCACAAAGAGCAGCTGGTGCTCAGAATGTTTACAGTACAAGTGGTGACCTTTTCCAGGCATTCCTTGAGTCACAGTCGTTGAATTAAGCCCCAATGGGGATGACGAAGATACTTTAGGTTAGCTAAGGTTAAACATTACATAAAAGTTTTGGTTGGAACATTATATATTAATATATAATAATACAGACAACCTTTTACTTGAAGACGATTTTTCTTTCAACATTAGAAGACACTGTCAACTAGAGAGTGTTGTCTAAAAAGAAATGACTGAGCAGTTCATTTTAAACAGTTTGAAAAGAGTATCCAAAACTGCCTGTGCTTCCACAATTGTAAGGTAAATGGACTCACAAACTAGGTTTTTTTTTTTTTTTTCAAGCTTCAAAAGCCATTTTCTATTTGAACTTCAAACATTATACTGCTTGATACTGCAAATGTCTTAGTGCGATATACGAGTGTAGACATTGCCAAATGTTGTTGACTGTTTTCACCTATTGCTCTTCGTGTATGGCATTTAGTGCTACACTCTGCCAGCTTTCCTTTCAAAATTATCATAAACATTTACTGACAAAGTGGGGAGCTGCTCAGCATGATGGAGGTGGTGGTAAACACTCCCACCCAAACCAAGGTGGGGGAGGTGAAGGGATTTGATCTGTGTGGCAACAATGGATTAAGTCAGTTGTGGCAATAAATCTTCATTAAAGTCATTTTCCCGAAGATGTTTCTGAGAGCTGGAGTAGAGCTGCATAAAAGGGAGGGGGAGGAGAGGGAGAGGGAGGAGAGTTGTAAGGAGGACAGCTGTGTCTCCCCTCATGGATCATCTGGAAGAGCAGCTGGTGTCTCACTACCTTTGCCTCTTCCTCCTCTTATTCTTGCCTGCCCCCCTCTCTTCCCTCCTGTATTGCCAGTCCAAATTACCCAACATCTTCATTAATGTTTCATTACAGCTGAGTCAGCCACTGTAAACCACTGCCAAATTAAGCTGTTGTTTTGTAAGCAGATTTCATGGGTTCGACTTGCACTCTGAGTCACAACTTTGAATACATTGCAAAGATTAATTTCCAACATGACAAAAAGACAACACGCTTCTCATTTAACCTCAGTATTTTTATTTTTTTTTACTTCTGTTTCAGAGTTTGTATTGGGCTTAGCTTCTTATGAACACAGTGTCAATGTCAAGGCTGTTTGTATTACTTTTTAAAAATACCAGTCATTATTTGTTTTGTAAATTAGTTATTTCTTTTTGTTTGCACTTGTTTGAAATGAGCAGCGAGTATTTCCCACTGCACTTGAACGCACCTCAAGCAGCGTCGTGACGTCGTCAGATGCCTGCAGGTGGAGGCTAAATGCTGCGCTGGGCTAGCAGGAGGTAAGACGTGCTACGCTGTCGGTCCAGATTAAGTAGTTGAGCATTTTTCTTAGTTAATTCACATTTCATAAGTTTTATATTTGTACTTGTGTTTGAAGGGACATGTATTTTGTTTAGCCATGGAATATTATATGGTCTATATGAGTCCAATTTAGATTTTATTCAGGAAGCTAATGCTAGTTCACTGAAATTCAGCAGTTGTGCCGGGGTTTCACCATGTTTTCTTTAAATTTTATATGCTGTTTTTTCAAAGAGAGTTGTCTTGGACCAGTTTGTTTGTGTTGTTTATCCCAAACACGTATCAGTTGTATATAATGTTGTGAATGTTGTCAATTGACTTGGTTTGTTTTGTTTTTACTGTTCCATTATAACAAAGGTGACTGAATGTCATTGTTAAATGTGAATATGTTGCATTTTTGCATATGACCAAACACATTAAAACAATGCTGCTCTGGGCCAGCAGGAGCTCACTGCTGTTTCTTTTTGATATCTGTCAGACAAAATAAAATAAGTTCAACCCACATCTTGCCACTGTTCTCCTTAATACAGCAGTAGAAAGACAGAAGGCATTGTTAAAGTTTGGACCAGTCACGTCGTTTTATTTTTCATCTTCCTGAAAGTTTAGCAAGTGCATTTCACGCTTGGACTTCTGACCCCCCCAAAATTCTACCTCTCCTTAGTTTCCCAACACAATTAGAAGATGTCCACACTTATTCCCCCACAAGGAGCTTTAATCCTGTTTGGGAAAATAGTGAGACAATCATTGAAGTAATGAAAAGAAACAGTGTTTTTAATCTTTCCCAGAAACCTAATCCTTTCCTTACCCTGTGCTTCCTGCCTCAGTTTTCCTTAAGATGATGCCAAATGTTCCCTGAAATGCTCAAAAATACAATCTTAAAACATAATATGCTAATTAGAAGGTGTGCTCAAACTATTCCCAAGCAATGAACCCAGGTTAAACTGATCAACATAGCATACAATTGTCATAGCTGGCAGTGCTAGAAATTGTATTTATAAAGCAGCTTTTGTTTATTCTGCCAGAACATTTAATTTTATTTTTTGACAGCTCAAAAGAATAATGACTGTACTCCTTCTAACCTCAATATCATTTAAAGAGAAGATGTTGGAGAGATAAAAAAAAAATAATAAAGTTGAAATATTGCAGATAATTGGTTGAAGTAGCAGTAATGTTTTTTTTTCCTGACACAAATTGTACTGAATATGTAATCTATGTAAATCAAATCAAAGGCCTCATTAATGTTATTATTTAAGAAGATTTAGTTTGATACAAAGATACTGCTTTTATCTTTTCTGTTCTCATTTTCTCAGAAGCTGTTCACATGAAGTCTTGGATTAGAGCAAAATTGTTACATAATCTTTTTACTTGGAGGAAATAAAGTGGTACTTTTCCCAGTACTAGATGGAAAGCCTAGTATTTTGTGTGTCAGAAAGTAACATTTTAATTTCTCCTGTCACATAATTTTCTTAAATTCAGTTTTTGTGCATCCCCTTTTAATTATTTATGAGAAGAAATAATTCAAATTAAAGCTGACGTATTGATTTATGACTTTACATTCACAGATGCTGCTCTCCTTGTACTGAAACAGAAATCCCAACCTTCAGTGAACTTCGCCCGCGGCTTCAGAAGACTGGCTGGGTATGCATGGTCATATTTTCTCTGTTTGCTCTGCATCTCACAACCCTCTCAAGCCATTCTAAACATTCACACACAGCCATGTATTCCCTCCTGAACCTTCCACCCTGGCACACTGCAGAAATCATGTTTTACTCATGCTATAAAATATGCACACACCCTCAGATATTTATGGTTCATCGTCTCTGAACTAATCTAGATGGTTTAAACATCTATCCAGCTATCCATTGACTCTCCACCATGGCTTATGAAACTGGTGTCTTGTTTTTTTTTTTATTTGAAAGAGAGATAAACTTGGCATACGTCTCCCTTCTTTGACCTGAAAAACGCATATTATTGTTTATCTTTTGACATTTCTAAATTTAAGCAAAAGTTTTTCTTTTTAAAGAAATACTTTGGGGCTTATTTGACCTTTGTGCTGTTTTATTAGTTAGTTGAAAATTACACTGAATTCAGGCAACAAAATCTGGATGACATTTGAGTTCTTCAATACATGAACATATTTACAAATTATGGTTGTTCTTGGAGAATGGAGATGATGTAATAGTGGATTGTTGTTTTGCAATTGTAATTGGAATATTGAGTTGCAGCTGTTATATCACCGCGTTCACAGCAGAATACTGTGGAAAAGCTGGAAAGACTTTTCCTGCATCTTTCTCTCTCAGCCAAGGCTAATGGTAAACTATCTCTCAATATATTCCTCGTTTTTTGTTTTCATCTATTCAGCTGTGCCAGGACTAACAATCTGGTAGGAATGTTGACAACCTGACGACTTGCATTCTGCATAATACTCCACCTCAAGACAAGTGACGATAGAACTCAAATATTTAGCTTAATAAGTATGAGGTCATGAAACAGGATGGTTTTAATAAATCATTACCTTCATAACACATAGACCACTTCTATAACTTTTACACATGGGGTGTTGCCACTCTACCAGCTGCTGAGAAATCTCTTAAACAGTGACTGTGTGATGAAAGTGATATATTTTATATTAAATATGTGGGAGCCCTTTAAAATTGAAGCTTTGTACTCTGGTTTTATGGTTTTATTGTAAAGTGTTTTATTTCTTTATTTAGTCAGTGTGTTTCTTATTTGTTTTAATGTTACTTAAACACAAAAGCTGACTTCACACTTAATAAAGGATGGTTAGGTCTTAAAAACAGTCGTTTTTGTCACAAGGAAAGACAGTAATTATTCTTGAAGAAGAAAGTGTTGCTGCCTATGATGCTGTAAATGAAAATAGGATTTTTCATGAGAGAGCGGTGTGAATGTAAATCACAGATAACTGAAGGAACATTGTGATATCTGCAGGCTTACAAAATTCTCATTATATAGTTTCTCCAGGCAGTGTTATGTCTCTTACTCTGTTTAACATATGATTTTGAAAAAGTATTATGTATTTTCCAGGTACATAGAGCCATTATAACCACTGATATCTGCAGTTGTTATAAGACTGATTACATTACTGTCTTGATCACATTGGTATGTAATCCAGACATTTAGAGAATGATTCAGTGTTTCTCCATTATTCTGTTTATTACTATTGTTAGGAGTGTTGGACTGAGAAGTAGCTTGTATTATAAACTCGTCAGACTCGCAGTTCTATCAGGTGTTTGCTAGTTGCTGCTACCGCTAGTCTAGTGGAGCCGTGTAAGGAAGCAAAGAGAATGAACAGTGCTCTGTGAGGCCGAAACTTAGATGAAGACTGAAGCTCTAGGGAGGAGCTTTGTGGAAATAGGCAGCGCTTTGTGAAATCAAGTTTAATGGCCCCCAATAGCTGCGATGAGAGATTTAAGAATTTATCCAACATGCATGAAAGAATAAAAGCAACACTTCATGAATGTTTTTGATGAGGGGATAACAGTATAACAAGCTATAAAGACCTACAAGGATAATTTTACATTATATGTCACCTTTACAATTTTTTATTCGCAATTTACGTTGCTAAATGTGTAACATTCAGACAATTTACTGAAGTACAAACTGAAAATTAGAATAGAGATTAAAGGAGATTTAAGTGAATTCAAACATGTCCTGGTTGATTGTGTCAAACGTTTAGTCAGAGAATTTCTCAATCTTCTAATCAACTGGTATTTCCATGCACAGCAATCTTTATTGTCTATGGTTTGAAATAGTAAAAGTGTTGAATGAGCAGGAGTTGAGGATGAAAATGCATTACTGATGTTAAAGTTAATAGGAAAATCTAAAGACGAGGTGAGTAAAAAAGCTTCAGTTGCTGAGGTAAAGATCAACTACCTCTCATTTGTCAAATACTGATGTAAATTTGGATGGAAAAAAATATGAAAAGACAATTCTCATGACTTATTTTTCTTCCAACTCTGTCTACTTTACTTTTTCTACATTTTTCATAGAAATGAAGTGTCACAAACTGTCCCACATTTTGTGATGTTAACTGATTTAAGAAACACAGTACATACATTTGAAATGTGGTGTTTTGCCTATTTTTTTGTATGTACTTTTTGTATTTCTAAGGCTTTTAAAGGCCAAAAGGTTTGATAGGACAGACTTGTGTGGTCTTTCTGGGCTCACTTGACTCAAACGATTTTTGCTACAGAATGCATGTAACAAACATAGATGGACACAAATATACATTGGCATGTAATCTAGAAATTTAGAGATTGATCTATGTGTTTTCCAGTTCTCTAATTAAAATAAGGATTAAAATGAAAGGCTTGATATCGACTGATAAATTTCTGACAGAATCCAAATGAGATTAACATAAAAACCCAGTTGCAGATGGGGGCACATTTGGCAAAAGAAGCAAAAACACCAAAATCTCTGAGGCTTGTGCTGTCTTTCTGCTGATCTGAAAATACTACCCCTATTACCCAGCATCCCTCACAGTGACTGCTCCTGTCTCAGCAACTTCCAGCCATCATTTACTGTGCCATAAGGGAACATTTACTGTAAAAGTCACAATTTGATGAATAAGAAAGAGGAGAGGCTGTGCCTAGACAGGGAAAGGGAGGGATACAGTCATCACTAGATGCTTGCTGTAGTCAAATCCACAATTTTTGAAATCTGCTTTAATTTCTATGCTCTACAAATGAAGCCTGGTTGAACCACACTTGAAATAAACAAACCTCCAGGAAAGATTCAAGCATTGAACATAGGGTACTGTATGCATAAATGCTTTCAAGCCACACCACATACGGTAATTAGGAAGGAGAGAGCACACAGAGAGATGTATTTTAACTAAAAGCCAAAGTCGAGCAGTGAGTGAGGGAGAACGAGATCAGAGATGAGCCAGCGCAGAGACTGGCGGACTTGTGTGGGCGGACGAGGAACTAGAAGGTTTCTCTTGATGTTTTTGTTTGAGGGCGCTTTTCGTGATCTTGGTGCCTCCAAGGAGTTTCTCACAACAAACCCCGTTTTGCTCTGAAACCACTCCAACACTGGGTCATCGCCCTGTTAGTGAAGAAACACAAAACATGGCTTCTGGACTGAAGTGCAATTGTTAGTGTAGTTCTGAGAGAGTCAGAGCAGCACAGAATCCCTTGGAGGAAAGACAGTAAAAACAATATCCTGAAGTACATTTTTTGCTGTTCCTCTCAGCGCCTCAATATACTTCTGCATGACTGTTAAACAAAATTCATTAGAAATATGAATATATTCTCATAAGTGTTGTAAAATTAACTCAGATTCTGAAGATATAACTAACAATAGATAAATGTTGTGTAATGTTAAACTGATGACTGTATTCAAGAGTCCTTATTGTATTGGCTACCTTTTGATTGTGTAAATGTACTAGAATTTTCTAATTGTGTTGCATTTACAATAATGTCTATAAATGTACATTTTCCCTGCCAAATAAATACATTTCATATTTAATATAGGACTAACCAAATTGTCTTTTGGGAGAGAGCCTTTAATGTAATTAACTATACCTCTTATTTACACAAAACGACTAACGTCAGATGAACAAAATGCTCATTGCTGTGCAGAAAATGTAATGATTTAAGTGTCGAGTTTTTTCTTGATGGTTGAATGGAGTGGAACATGGATTGATGAATGGTCCTATTCTTTAGGAGAAGAAGGAACTGAATAAAAAAGTGAAATACTCAATTAACACTGTTCATTTATTTAAATTTATGTATTTTCTTACCGGGACTCTCATATTAAAGTAGTTCTCTAAGATACAGAATATGAGAAAATTACTATATGTTTTGACAATAATTTGTAGTTTTTTTAAATAGATTTTTTTGTGAAAAAATAGAGCTGGTGGCATTTTGTATGAGTTTTATCGTCCTGTTCCTGCTTCATTCTGGCAACGTGAGCTTCTCTTCCTTTGCATTATCCATCTTCCTCTCCTCTGTCTCACCAGACAAAGTCATTCATTGTTCTGGCATCCGAGCAATTTTCATTATCACCTTTCTCTAACATCGGTCTTACCTGGCTCAAGACCGATGTTTGGGTCATGACGAGGAGACAAGAGACATTTTTGCCGTTTTATTCAGAAGCATCCACTTACTTATGAATAAATAGATGTTTTCACATAGGGCCAGGTATATTTGAACAACTTTAGTAACTAAATAAAATCTTCACAATTTAGTTTCTCAAGTTATCTTTGGATAATATCAAAAGTTTTTTGGAACCGACTGACTTAGTTTTAACACCTATGCAAAAAGAAAATAAATCTTTAAGAGGGTAAATGGTTAATCACAGCGATGCATGCAACAAATCACAATCTTTTTTGTCTGTCGTTTGCAGGTGCAGAGGAGATCCAGGGGAGAGGGAAATTATTTCCATTTCAAAAAAGGGAAAGTAAAAAAAAAGCTGTGAGGGTGTGTGTGATCATGTGTGTGCAGATCCAGGTGCGGTCTAAATCAGTTCCTGTGAATACACAGTCTGTGTTTCCTGAAATTGCTTTGTGATCCTACAGGTCACCAGACTAAAGAGGATAGGAGGGGGAGAAAGACAAAGAGTAGAAGAGTTATTTGTCTGCATGTGTGTGCGAAAGAAAATGAGACATTTCAAAAGACAAAGATGAACAGCAGGAGGGAGAAAATCAGAAGCTGAAAAGACACAAAATAAAAATAGTTTAAATATTCATGTTTTTCTTGATGATTTATTTATGAGTGTCTGATATTTCCCGTTATTTATAAACTGCCTGAGCATCACCATTGTTGACAGAAACGTTGTTCTGCATTCATGAAGGGGAAGCCTAATGTAAAATGCAACGTAAAACATCCAGCATGTCTGAGGATGATGCCACAGTAAAGGTTAGCAATGAATGCTTCAAGATTTAATGTGTCTGTAATGGGTTTTCAACCAGCTGCTGCCTCACTCCTTATGCATTCTCACCCACATTTTGACCTCCATCTTCGGCTGATGACTGGCATTGGCCCCATAAATCCCCCGGCATGCTGTTTTGGCATGGTGTCCACAACCCACTCACAGGATCTGATAGGCATCAGGGAAGTAATCCAAAGCAGGAGCTGCGCTCTTTTCCTCCCGACCAGAATAAGTATCCCTGAAAGTTATAGGAGCAGAAAGAAGCATCTGAGAAAATCTGCTGTCTGACCCTCCTCCTGTAAGCCTGGAACATGTTTTATTTATCAAAGCAATAGAAGATATCATCTATAGTTTATCACTGTCCTTGTCTACTTGCTTGAGCGAGACACATATGCTCCACTCAGCCTGATGTTGTGAAACAATGAAGAGGAAGTAAGTATTCTTTCTTAATGTCACCTCTAATACTTCTTGGTACCTCTGCCCAGCGGAGCGGAGCTGATTTGCATTCTCATTTACGGAAGAAGAGAAGGGAGGGGTGGAAATTAAAGGAAGTGTTAGGGAGTGTATATGCATGCAGGAGCAGATTCACTTATGTGATGTCTCTGAATGCTTAATTGGAAGAATGACCTCTGTGAACGCATAAAACAGATCTGCTGTCTTCAACGTGTCAGTCTATAGAGGTGATAGATTCCATCCTCTTAAAACTCTCTTATTTCGGTATCTTTGCTTAATCTCGCTCCACCTGCTCCCTCTGCTCTATTATACAATAATACCTCCTTTAGCTTATCTCCTTTTGCATACTTCATATGGTCTTCTTTCACCTTGTGTTTTGAGGGTCAAATTAAGATAATTACCAAACGTGCAGCTCTGTCTTCCAGGCTCTGTCTCCTTTAAAGGCCTTTCACTGGCTTTGTCTGCAAAAAACTTGGCTGCCATTTTTAGAAAGTGTGTTTATTTTGTTTGTTTGCTTATTTTGCTGAAGATATAAAATTTAGAGACACTCTTCACATCTTTCAGCAAACAATGGATGAATCAGGTGATTCACAATTAAAGGGCAACAAACTTGCAAAACCAGAAAGGCATTCATTGAGTTTTACATAAACTTAATGAGTCATTTTACATGAAAATGACAACTAGAAGCATAAATATGGGACTAAGTACAGTGACTGTGATATCTCCCGAGGAGCTATACTCGCTTTGCAACACCTAGAGCTTGTCTAAAGGACACCACAACAAGTTGTAAATTATACAATAAAAATACATCACACACTAATACATTTGTCTCAACCAAAAGTCAAAAGGATCAATGTTACATGCAAGAATACTCTGGATACATTTTTTTCAGGGCATTTTAAAAAAAATTAGAAGCAAAAGCAACACTCATTGGATTTTGAAGAATTTATGATTCATCGACATGAATGCAGCATCTCTTTACACATTTAGAAAAAAGGTTGTGGGTCATCTTTCCAGCTAAAGAAATGCTGATGAAGAGAAAGAAGAAGCTTTCCCCAATATGAAGTTATGTTATAAAGTTGACTGGCTGGTAAATTAGCTGCATCTCCTGCCAGTTGCACTGGGGATGTGGGTCTCAAACATGGAACAATTTCCTTTTCAGATATTTGTCATTTGTGCTCCAAACAAATTTTTGTAGCATACACCTTGTAAAAAGATATTAATTTACATTTGCTAAATTTGGTGTTTGATTTCCATCTTCTAATTTTGCAATACAGGATATAAAACTGTTTCAAACCATGACTGTCATTCACAAGAACCTTGGCTTGTGTTTTAGACCCTGGAAGGCTGAAAAGTTATCAGTCTTTTTTTTTTTTTCATAACCAGCATATGAAAAATTCAAGGAAACACCCTTTGGAAAAGTTCTGGTAACGCTGTAATTCTGCTGTATGTTTGAAAACATTTTTATTTTAGGGCTTGTTTACTTGCGTGTTGCTGTCATTATTTGTTCTGCAAAGCAGTGCCAGTGAAAAAAATAAAATTGTATTTCAAGTGTGTAAAATCGATCTTGAATTGATTAAATTGCCCTAAATTACATGCGGCAAAATGAATCCTAAATAGGCACGAGGTAATGCCATATGCTGGTGTATTTTTTTTAGGAAGGCTAAACAGCATTAAAAGATGACTTGCCTATATCTCAATATGCTCTAAGCAAGAGCTTTAATAGAATTCCATCTTGCTAAATTTGAATTATTTTCATTAAATTTAAAAAGCCTTGATGCTTATGAGGTTAATGCTGTACAAACTGCACTTAATAAGCTTCAATTTCTGTGCTTAATTGTTTCCTAAAAACAAAACATGGCAAATATTTTACAAGTGACAAGGTTACATGTACAAGTTAGGGTTAATACTATCGAGAATCCTTTTGATATATTTGCTTTATTTATTGTTATTTCAGCTCATTAAAGAGCAAGCACTCTAATGTGGTAATTATCTCAACTGGAACTCCACACTATGCTCTTTATAACTTGCAGCACTAATTGCAAAATTTACATATCGTCAGCTCTTTTTTTAAGCTGGTTTATGTTCACCTTTTGAAGGCTGTGACTTTGGCATGGGGGAGAAAATGCAGCTTGGAGGATGTATTGAAAAGTATTTTTTTTTTTTCCATTTCGCTAAAACCCGTGTGAGTTCAGGCGGATTCAGTTTCAGGAGAATCATTAAAATGTTGTCTTACATCGACTTCCTACATTCAGACTACATTAAACATGGTTAAGAAAAATATATAAAAGTTTATTTTAGGCTAATTTTTTCTATTTTCTGTCTGTGGACTTACTTATGTATCGGGAACATCATCCCAATCATTGAGTGCTTGGCTTTGAATTTAATTTCAACTGGTAAAACGCATTTACCAATTGTAATTAAATGTCCTGTTTCAGTTTTAAAATACTCTATTGATCACAAAGAAAATTAAATGTTCATCAGGATTCTTCAAACAGCCATTGAAGAGACGGTAAAGACCTGAAGCGGTCTGTCACATTTTCTAGTTTGAATTTTTTTGTTGTAAAATGCAATGTGCTTCACCAGAGTTTTTATTTTTATTTTAGTTTAGTTTTCCCCTATTTTAACAAATTTTTCAAACAAACTTGTTTACAGGTTGATTGACACACAGAGTTTGAAAAGGTTTTGAAATGACCATCTTAAAGTTTACTTCCGACATTCAGAAAACAAGCTTTATAAACGCAACTTCAGACTTTTTAGACTTCCACTTTTGCAGATTTATAAAGAACAGTGTATGACTGTTACTGAAATTTCCCAGACTCTCAACCTTTTTGTCTTCAAACAAAACTGAGCCTACGAGTTTTGAGTGTACTCCATCAATTCAGATTCACCTCCTTAAGATTATACTCCAGTATTTACCCTCGTATAAAATATGCATTTTGAAATATATATATAGATAAAGATATATTCAGTGTCAGTTGTAAGGCACCTTGCATGAAAGCATCTATTACGACACATCTCAGAGGTTCTGAGATGAATTCTCTGGGTTTTTCTCCTCCCTCAATTTCCTCTTCTGCTATATTTCCTGTCACAATTTCCTTCCTTCTCACCTTTTCTTGCATTGCCATCTATCTCCTCCTACCTCCTTCTTCCCTCTCTTTATGTCACCTTTAAAGGAAGTGTGTAACACTGATGAGAGTGGGTCGAAAAGTTAACTTCAAAGGAAGCCAATTTACTCCAAACATGAAAGAGTAGCACTTTTATTTTCCTCTGAGTGATGCTGCTGTTGCATTGTACTATAGACCGCAAGGCTGTCAAAAATGTCCTTTGAAACCAGTAAAAAGACATTTCACAGTGGCGGACATCTAAAAAGAAAAAAAATTCAATCAAAAAATATATAGCCGGTTTTAGGATAGAAATTTAACAAAAAAAGCACGGCCTGATAATTGACGTCTATCATTTGACTCAAAGTCTCAACCAAAGATAATTCCCCACCACAGTATCACTAAAGATGTCATGTACATTTATAGTTTATTTACACATTTTTATATCAGGGCATATAAAAATCTTTCTTTCTTGCTTAGTAAATTCAGATCCTATTTTATTTATTCACTTGCAACACAAATGCATCAGAATATATTTAAAATCTGCCAAAAATATCACAGTAAATTAGCAGTTTTGTTAGTCAATGATGTATTCTGTTGTTTCCGGCAAACAGATTAAAGTTTCTGGACAGTGGGAAGAATCCAGAGAACCTAAAGATCAAAATCTAGCATGCAATAGAGGCAAACGCACAGAAACATGTGGAAAGAACCCGTCTTTGATGACGATCATTGGCTCCACAGTGTTGACCTTCACCAAATTACAGCTGTAAGAAATCTCAATTACCTGACACTAGAAATGAAGAAGTAATTAAGAAAGTTTGATGAACTGGATTACATTCTTTCAGTCTTTCAACTTAGAAGCATAAAACAGGTGTTCCCATATCAAACCAAAATACAAACTTTAGAATTGCAATGACTCAGATTTAATAGTCTTCAATTTCTACGTTTTTTAGTGTAAAGGAAGCCAGTCTGAATTTAATTGCAAAGCACTCTCCAAAAGTTCTGGCGTCTCTGAAAAAGTTTTTTAGAAAATCTTAAGAAATAACTTGCTGTGCCAAGATGAACACAGGTCCTCAACCAGCCTTCTTTCTCACAGTTCCAGTTGTTTTCACTATTTTCTGACTGTTTAGATGAGTAGCTTCTCCAAACCACTTTTTTAAAATGTGAATTTCAGTGGCCAATCCAAAAAAAAAAAAAAATACAACCAATTTTTTTTTTTTTTAAATC